ATCTTTCAAAGTTGTATTCCTAAGTTTTATGATCTGCCTAAGACCTCACTGACCCCTGTAAGCATCATAAGGGCTTGGAGTTTTGTGTACAGTTCACAAGAAAGTCGTGCAAACATCAAAATCCACACATGCAAATGGCCTTGATTGATTACAAGCATAGAATTGTTTGATTGGTTCACAACTTTGTTTCTTTCAAGATTAATCAAGCTGTAATACTCGCATTATTTCAGAATTGTTAAACTGATTGTATCATTTCTCATAGTGATTACGATTTGTATTTTCTCTTATAGTAGTGCATATACTTGTGTAAATTACTGTAAAATGACTAATTTTCACTGGGTTTAAAGTTCGCTGATTTACCATTTCAGGCATATTCAGTGGGTTTTAAATTCACAGTTTTATCATTTAGATAATGTGTTCTATGCTAAATTTTACATATTCACTGGGTTTTAATTAGCTCATTTTCTAGTCAGTGAAATAAGCAAAATTAAAACTCAGTGAATAATTAACATAGTAGATAGGTATATACATTTACCTTTTCACCACCAGTTCCCTTTTATTATCACAGAGAAAAGGTTAAAACACAATTTTTAGTTTATATCTGTGATGCACTACTAATAGAGCAAATATGGTAACACAACTGCAACTTTGTGAGACAAGACTGACTTCCATGAAAATTTATTTAATTAAAAATTTTACAGCTTTACAATATTTCCCACTCAACATTTTAAACGCCTTAATGGGGATAAATCATGATAGAAATAATTGATCTGTGATAACGAGATATAATTACAATTTTCGGTACTTTACAGGTGAATGCCATTTGTTACGGAGCCAAGATTATGCTCCCCGGTGTCTTGAGATTTGAAGACGGAATTGAAATTAACTCTGAAGTGGTTGTCCTGTCGACGAAGGGTGAAGCCATCTGTCTAGGCATAGCATTAATGACAACTGCCGTCATGGCAACCTGTGACCATGGCGTCATTGCTAAAATTAAACGAGTCATCATGGAAAGAGATACGTATCCAAGGAAATGGGGTCTGGGACCAAAGGTAAAAATCAGCTGTTTTTGCTTGCTGTATGAAATGAGTTTTTTCACTCGCCCTAATGGCACTGGTTGATTGGCAGGGCTCTTCTTGTCAGAAGGATTCTCTAGCACTTGGTAATCTCTTGTGTTGATGTATTGAGACATTGTCTGCTGGAGCAATTTTCATCAGGCAATGTTAAAATGTAATGTGGTGTATAGGTGTATCGTGTGGGAAAACTGACTAATTCAACATTACTGAAAACTGTTTGAAATTGTACGAGTCTGGAAAAATTATGCCTCCACACAGTGTTGGTGTTTTTCAGGCATGCAGTGTGAATTGTATCCTTTATTCCTGCCCTTCCTTACTCCATGAAAAATACACTTTCAATACAGCATTTGTTCTCCAGTGTCATTCCCGGATTTAATGAACTTGATTATAAGATTATAAGTCGAAAATGCAATGGAAATTGTTAATGAGCATTTTTGTTCACTTTTACTGACATCTCCTACATGTTGGTGTTGTCAAACATTTTAAAATAAATTCTTTGTTATCGCTAAAAAGATATCCTGTTTGTGAAGTTGAGTGTGATTATGATAAAGGTGACTAGTTGTTTTAATTATCATTTTGAAACTTGAGTTTCATTTTATAAATAACTATTATTATTTATAATACCAGGCGTCTTTAGTGAAAAAGATGATAAAAGAGGGCAAACTTAACAAATACGGGAAACCGAATGAAGAAACGCCTGCTAATTGGACGAGTACATACACCGATTATAAGTAAGTATGCTTGCTATAACCAGCCATATCAATTATGATGTTGATTTTGTTTCACAGAACACCTATTTCAGGTCTTAAGTATAGCAGTTATTGCTTATTAGGAAATGGAATGGCACACTCCGCATTTCAAATGTTCAAGTGTCATACTGATGCTCACAGATTTATGAATTTATTTGTCATTTACAGTGTCCAGAAAACTCCTTCCACTCCAAAAGCAGACATTGAAGAAGTTGCTGAAGTTGAAACAGCCTCCAAGAAGCGAAAAATAAGCGAAAGTAGTTCTGAAAGTAGTGCCCCACAGTCGCCAGTGAAAGTAGTGGAAAAGGAGAAAAAGAAACACAAAGATAAAGACAAGAAAAAGAAGAAAAAGCACAAAGGGGAAGGAGATGCAGGGGTAAGGATGAGATATTATGATACGATGGTAGAAAATATAACATCAAACATGATAATTACAAACTTTGAAAAATGCTTCAAATTCGTGTGAGACATTATCCTGTATTTTGCGAGTACAAGGGTTGTCACAAAATATTATAACCGTAAAAAATTTCATTGCCCATAAATTTTGCTGAAATCGTCAACATTTCTCAAAATGAAAATTTAATAATATAAAGTATTATGTTGTACCTAATCATTCCCATGTACTGGACATGCTGCATAGCGCTGTAAATAGTTTGCATGTCATTTACATACCTTTCATTCATTCATTCATTCATTAATTACCTAA